GAGAGAGAGAGAGAGAGAGAGAGAGAGAGAGAGAGATCCTTCATCTTCATTTTCCTCTTCTCTCGCCACCCTCCATATCCACAACCCCTGAGGCTCGTCTAACCACTACTGAGAGATATGAGAAACTTGGTTAGAATTGCAGGAGCTATTCGTCCCAGGCTCAAGCTCGGATCCGGCATGGACTGGTGGCCATTGTGAGATTTTAGAGAGAGCCCATTTGAACTCTCTTCGTCTTCTTCTTCTTCCTCTTCATCCCACATTCAATGAGATCTGTTTCTTCCACCTTCAACATGAATGCCTCGTCCCCTCATGTGTGCTTTGAAGGAGGGATCTTTCTTTGGTGTACATCCCCTACTTGTATCCTCAGTCATGTCCGATGGGCCAGGTGTATGTGTCTGATCTGAAGAGTCGGATTTCTATTTTCGGTCGTCAGCTGTATTGCATCGTCATTTCTACTCACTTCGGCAATCACTTGGTCCTGCACCATGTGTTGAGATTTAGAGGGTTGCGATGGTTTGGTAGTGGAGCAGACCAATAGGAGATCTGAAATGACCTGCTCATATGAAATAGTACATTCGATTAATAATTTTATTGACTATTAGTGCAGTAATTAATTAATTGGTTGATTAATTACTTTTTGATACATGGATGAATTAACTTAATATTTTTGGCAATTATAGTTCTGTTATCAATCAATTGATTGATAAATTGCATTGTCCCTCCCGGGGACTTCTCTTGTCTGGAAACCCACAAAAGCTATTCGGTTTGGCATAATTAGGACTTTAGGACCTACTCACACTAGGCCATAGAAATCACAGAATCACAAAATGAGCGGCCAGATCAAGTCCTTTTACAAGGACTCAATCTGGCCACTCATTTTATGATTTTGCGATTTTGAGGGCCTAGTGTGAGTATGCCCTTATTGAACCCAAAAAGGTTGGCAATTAATTCTTTGCAATTTGTATAAATGTGAAAGTATGAAATTCCCGAAATTCTTTCTTCCTTTTCATAAATCAATTGCTACAGTTTGAAGATTGAAATCCGGAAATCCAAGGCCCATGCACTTGCATACTTTGGGGAAAGTTATAAAACCTCTTTGCGGCGAAACTTTTGTATTCTACGTACTATTCCTTTTCCCCCAGCTGGGGCAAAACGTGCCGCAGGCCCCTAAATGACTTTTGGCGTCATTTTTGCACCCTGTAAAACACTATCCTGCCGTTTCACACAGTGGGCGTTACCGGCCCAGTCAGGGTGCATAAATGACACGAAAAGTGATTTTGGGGCCTGAAGCACTCTTTGTCCCGTTGGGGGGAAATGCATGCAAAAGTTTCGTCGTGGGGAGGTTTTATAACTTTTCTCTCATACTTTTCAAAATTAGGCTTCTTCCGCGGGGGTTTTCCATTTTTTTCCCCTTTTCCCTGAGGTTAAATTGTTTCTTTTTGTAGAATTTTTTTTCTTTCGGAATTTCCTTCCCTGGAGTCCCGGCAAAGGTTGACTCAGAGTTTTATGTGGGGACATGGTACAAATATATGCTAGGAAGGCTTAGGAATCCAATCAGGTAAATGCATGTGCAGGGTAGAGTGGGAAGGGAGGAGAGAACATGTAAAGGGGGTTGAGCATTTGGGCGGGGGCCGCAGAGCGTGGTGACTGGGTACCAGTGGGTGTCTCCCGACTGTGTACTACTGTGATGGCTCCGCGCCTCTTAAGGCGTGTGCTGGGACACGATATGATCATTGTCCAATGTTGTGATGAAGAGTGCGTGCCGGTCATAAGCAAATTGACTGGTGGCCCCCAGAATAGAAAGGGCTGTGTGAGTGTGTTGTAACTTGTAAGAAAATAAAATAAAAATCAATAAAGGATTAATTGCTTTTTTGAAGTTTGGCAGCAAAAATGTCGTCCGCTCGAAGTTTCCTTCGCAAAAATAGATGTTTGTTGCAGCTTTATCGGGTTCCCATAGTTTTGGCAGCAAAAATAGGGTTAATAGCAAAAATATTGCTGTTTCAAAGTTTGGCAGCAAAAATGTCGTCCGTTCGAAGTTTCCTTTGCAAAAATAGAGGTTTCGTTTCGTTGCAGCTTCATTTCGGGTTCCCGTAGTTTGCCAGCAAAAATACAGCGTTTTGCCCAGTTTCACAGCAAAGTACCCCTAGGCCTCCTGCCGCAGGGACTCAGCGTTCTGGCCTGAGGCACTCAGCGTTGTTTTTTTTTTTTTTGGGGG